TTGCCACCTATTATAAAAGTCAAAATTATTTTAATTACACGTATGGTATATATAGCAAATATAGCAGGGTTGCCTATTGTTTACAATGTAGTCCAATTCAATGAGTAATGCAACCAAAATTTTTGAAATTTTGTGTGGAAATCTTTTACCAATAATTTTGGCATTTTAACACCATACGTTCACTTACAGTATATACTGTTTCCAAAAGTACTGCCCCTCGCGTTTCTCAAAAAGGTGTGAAAAGAAATTTATATGCATACATAGATACATGTATTGTATAATGCCTACCTTGATATAAAATGGTGGGAATTTGAACTTAATTTTTTTCGTTTTTGTTCCACTATTTCTCGGAAAATTTAATTATACCCTGATTCTGGTGTGGTGTTTTTATTTTTAAATAACATATATGTAGCAAAAACAAAGGGATTTCTATTAAATTTAAAATTTGAAATTTGAAAGCTTGAACAAAAAAATTAAAAGCAGGATAAATTCCGAATTTGTCGCTAAAAGGGGCGAAAAGTACAAAAAACTTAAAATTCACCTACAATTCTAAATAAATTAGCAGCTGGTGTGCGTAAAAGCGTAAAAAAAATGGTTAGGAGCGTCAAAAAAAAAAGACCTGCCACTTGCTGTGCATAATTCTAATTAGTACCTAGCACCTCAAAGCACCTGAATTTGCTTAAAAAAAAATTTTTGGGTGGTTGCTTTTACTTTAATTTTATTTTTGTAGGAAAATGTTTTTGAAATATTTGACGAAGCTTAACCCAAGCAAAGGCTTACTCCATGGCAGAGAAACGACAAGTTACGTTTAAGCAATTCAGAATTTATTTATTATTTTAGGCACAAGATGTATACGCCTTCATGTCCATCCTAACCGTTATTTGGACACTTTAATATTCACAACTGCAGCTAATTCATTGAAAATTGGGGCCGAGTTTTTAACTCCATCTCCATTCTCCACCAAGCCTTAACTGCAGTTTATGCCCATTGGAAAAACGAGAATATCACTCGAACGGGGTAATTGGTCATATTAGGAACAAGCAAACGAAAGTATGAAAGCAAAAAGTAAGAAATAAAAATTGCCAATCACCCTATGTTAAAATAATTGGTACTTGTCTGAGCTCTTAACCGTAGTTAAGCTTTTGGTGGAAATAGGCGCTAAATTTCGATGAATCTATTAGCCCTCTTTTACTTTAAAACCTGGTTTAAATGTACACATGTTATACATACTACTTCGCGCTAATTTTGAAAACTACTAAGTGAATTGAGAACCTTCCTTATAAAATAATCAACAAGTGTGTCATACGACAACACTTGATGGGTTTGACAGCACTTTCAGAAAACATAAAAAATGAATGCAACAAATTGAAACTAATATTCGAAAGCGATTTACTCCCTTTCGCTTACAGTTAAAATTTTCAAAAATTAATATTGAAATTGATTTTCAAAAAAAGGCATAGGCACATTTTCGGGCGTGAAGTTTTATAACCCATACAATTCTAGTTAAATAATGGCTCTGATCCAGTACTCCATGAACTAACAGGTTTTTACACGAACTTGCAGGAAGTTACAGGAAAAATGGTCACGTACCCCAAAATTCTCTAAGTAAATCAGAACGATTTTTGGAGAGATGTGTAGAGAATGAACTTGGAAGCCAATGAAATTCTCCATAAACCGTGTATACATCACTTTTCGATAGGCCTGATAGTTTATGAAAAATTAATTAATAACTCCAGTATGTATACCTATTCTCAAACCGGTTAGCGACAATATTCGGATCGCTATCGCAAGTAGCTGATAGCAAGTAGCAAGATAAACAAAAAATTAAAACTTTAAAAAAATGTTTATTTTTTTTCTTTGTTAATTATTTTCTCAGAAGAAATTTGCCTAATTTCGTATAACGATTGTTCAATTGGTTCTTAAACGTGATTAAGTGGATTTCGTTTTTTTTTTAAGCTGAATAACGGCAAATTGCAAATATCTCGAAAACTTATCGATAGAAAAAATTTAATTCGATTTACGGAATCACCGAGAAATTCTAGAACATCCATAGAACAGTTTTGCTGTGAAACCAGTGTAATTGAATGGGCTACAAATATGCATTCCGGAAAATTTTCTCGAAAATTTAATTAAAAAGCTTGAAATTTTAATGAAACTTGTGGGTAACCTTATCATTATGTCACGTACTATATTCGTACGAAGAGAAAATAACTTGACAAAAGAGAATCGTCATTCCACTCCAATGCTAATGTTATTAAACATACAACTTGGTTACGAGTATTACACCCAATGTGGTATGTGCTAATTAATATAAGTTATTCAAACAATAATTTAAATTTTATAACGATGAACAGGTAAGCACATACATACGAATGTGGACTTTGTGGGCAATAATTTGGATCTTGTGTATATTTGATTGGATTATATGTAGATGGCGCTGAACACACACACACACAGAGTGACTCGTAGTAAATGATAACAAAAATTTATTATTTATAAATTATTTTTCTGACATGAAATTAAAAAGATAGTAGCAGAAAACACTTACTTATTTTTCAATTTTATTTACAACTTGTAATTAAAAATAGTGCAGCCTTCGGTTGTGATCATCAGAAACTTTAACTACAACCGTAATTACCGTAATTAAGTTATATCGGAAAAAGTTGGAGCTGAACAATTAGTTGTATGAGATACACCAGTACACTTTGTGTAAACAGGGCCGAAAAGTTGAAGCTTTTGCTTGGAATTGCTTATTTTGCTTATTCAGGGTCTCAAAGCTTAACTTTAACGACCATGCTTATTTTGCTTATTTTAATGTGTAAAGCTAAGTACGGACCATTGAAGAAAAAGGTGAAGAAAAAATTGCTATTATTTCCTGTGTATGGATAGTAAAGTCATTTTGTTCTTGCTTCTGGTATCTAAAGTGTCAGAAATTGTTATGACTTTTTCTCTTAAATCAAAGATTGCTATGTGAAATACTAAACAAAATATTAAAAAGTAAAAAATGTTAATTGAAAAAAAAATAAAAATTACTGCAACTTTTTTTTCTTAATCGGTGTTCACATGAGTCGATTTTCCAGGCAATTAGTTCAATCAAAAGTTAGCTGCCCCCAACTTCATTGGAAGCGATAAGTTGTAACGCCGTTCACACTAGGCGATTGTTGCTTTCAATTAAAAGTTGTCTGTAAAATCGCGTCATGTGAACATCGTTTAGTAAATTTGTTTGCTTCTCGAAGCATTGATTCATCCGTTGTAAGGCGCAATAATCAGCGCTTGGGCTGCTGAGTTAGGTGAATGTTCCTAAAGCTACTATTCAATCGCTTCTTTTGTATGGACAAAGGTTTCACATGCAAATTGATTTTAATAATTTTGAATTTTTGTGAGAAAAAATTAGAAATATTTGACGTTTAAAAGGCCAACGAATTTGAAAAATAAAATCTAATCAGCTGCTCTACTGATACTACCAGTTCAACGTAACTTCAACTGCATTTCGGCAAAAATTTAAAACCAAAGGTTTGTCTCTACGGGAAAAGCATTGGTGTTATTGAAGAGATTAAAATAAATTTATCTCAAATCGAGAATAACGAATATTTAAAAAATTTAAATGACTAGTGCAGATATCTCTTATTTGAGAATATAAAGCAACACTTGATTGTTCATTCTAATTTTTCAATCCATGAAATAAACATTAAAATAAAAAAAAAACCCATTTAATTGTACTTAATTTTTTTTTTTGCTTTCTTTCGAGCATCTTTGCAAGCATATTTACTAATGTTTTAGTGCTTATCTAAGCGGCGCTTAAAATAGATTTTTTCTTGCTTATTTTCTTCAGCCCTGATGATAAATTAGGGCGGACCTTCATATGTAGCATGCGTATCCGTGTGCATGCTTTTTACATTTACGCTTAGAAGTCAAAATCCATACGACTTTATCTCGTTTTCATGCGTTGTTATGTAGATGCTGCCATAAAAATTTGTATATTAAATTTTTCTGTCAAACGCACGCATACGTATGTATGTATGTTTATGCCTTTAGTAAATAGCTCGCGAAATTGATCGGTTTTATCTCTCTAATTGAAGTAGTTTTAAAGCATAACTTCATATCTAAATAATTATTGGTATGGGAGCTATAAGCTATAGTGGACCGATATTCGTAACTTTCACTCCCTATTGATAATAAGTGAAAATAAAGCGAAATTTCAAGTTCCTAGCACCATAAATCTATGAGTTACTTATAACGCAAAACCTCATATCCGAACGATCTCTTATATGAGAGTTATATGTTGTATTGGTCCGATTTTTTGCGGTGCCTAGAAGTGAATAATACATTATAAAAAGGCATCCGGTAACAGAATTTCAGTCGTATATCTCGAAAATTTACGGACTAGTTTGCGTTCACACCGAAAAACGGGCATGGCTAAATCAATTCACTTATACATACATATACTTTTTCATGGGTCTATCTCTCATTATTCTGGTACTTACAAACACCGAACCAAAGTTATATTGCCATTTCAAATCAACAAGTTGAAATCAGTTGAAAATTGCATTCGGTTATACCTCGTAATGATCTTCCTTCTGCGAGATAGATGGCATGGTAAAGCTTTCGAAGTTCTTTGAACTCTCGCATTAATATTCAAAATTGAAGATATGGAGTTGTCTGAAGGCTGCCGTTATCGAGTAGTTAGAAGTGGGTATCGTACTTGCACTCCGTAGACCCCAGTCTCGGCAATTCTGGTCTGAGCAACATTCAAAAAAGTTTTCTTCTAAAGCGGTCGCTCTTCGGCAGGTAAAGCCTATCCTAAAATCATGGCTTAAAAAATTACTGTCCGCACACCACAAATCGGAGGAGAAGCTCTGCCAACGACTAGCAAATGTGTAAGCGCCAAATATTATTATTATACTTTCAGAGCTTTTGTTGGTCATAGCATTAGCTTTAAGCATTAACCACTTACTTTTGTCCAATTTGGTTGAAAAAGTTTTACATAATAAAAATATGTACACCAAATGTATATTTCAATCGAAGTTATAGAAAGGTTAAGAACCTTCCTTGTAAATATTTACAATTAAAGCGCGATTAACATTTAGATCATTACATAGTATGTAACAGTTATAACATTAAATATATATAAAACTAAAAAAAAATCTAATATTTATTTTCAACTAAATTTATTTAACATTCTCCATTGAAGTGGCACGCAAGTACTCAAAAACGCCAATCCTGGAGCCTAGCCAATAAAACATACTGGCCAGGAAAGTGAACTTGCAAACTCGATCCAAAATGTATAAGCTTTTTGAAAGAAAAACGGGAGCCATATTAAGTATTTTGTAAATATAAGTACATAGATAAATACATTTTGTAAATGCATGAATAGCTGATTAAAGTACCAAATTCGTTTTGAACACTTACAATTTGAGTTGTGTCCTCGCCCGGGGCAATGAGGACAGTGGTTCTTTCATAACATATTGACGTCCTCCAAGAATGCAGGTACGCAAATAATCGTAATCATCAACGTCATTCATTTCTATTTTGAAACTATTTCGAAACCAGAATTTGGCTTAACAATGTATGCAGCTTATATTAAACCAATCAATACAGTACTTACATTAAGTTATCCTGCGGACACAAAACCTCTTGAATTTGCTCAAAATTCTGTGACTTAAAATCCCAGTAGCGCGTGGTAAAGAATTGCAGTACATCTAGGCCTATGGCAATGCGTGTTTGTACGCGGACCATGCTATAAAGGAAGAATTTCGAATGAAAAATCGAATAAAGCTTAAAATTTGTATTGGCCTTACAAACGCCGTTGCCCGAAAATAGCCAATAAGAAGTCTATAACATATGCCGGCAACCACATGAACATAATAACGCAGAACCAGTGATAAATCTAAAAAATGTTGGAGAGCTTAGTTAACCAAACAAATTTGTTGAAAATATCTAAATTGTATTACCTTATTCGTAGTGATATGCCCATCTGGATACCAAAGTCCGATTTCGAAAGGATATTTCATACCCAAATCGCGTCCTACATCCATCACCCATTTCCAAGTGCGTTTTTTTGCATCAGGCACAGTCAGATTGAAAACTGGTACATTTTTAGGCCTAATAGAGTTTTGGAGACAAATTAAAGTACATAGATTTATTATTGCACCTGTCGTAATTTTTTAATTTACGTTGGCGATTTAAATTAAGGTTAAGGTTCAGGGGACTGTTCTCGGATTAATGGTAATAAATTCTCAATACTCATTATTTTAGGAGCACGTTTAGCTTACCAAAAAAAAAACTTGTTTCAGCTTCGAAAAGAAAAATTGCCTTCTGCGACCATTTTAAGTCCAGGGAAAAGCAAATAAGGCCAGGTATTAAATTTACTGAATGTTAAAGATTTGGTAAGAGTACAGCTCGTTATAAAATAATCTTTGTACATATCTACGATTACGATTTTATTATTTTAATTGGTTTTTAATGCAGTGAAGTGAGAAATGCCTAACTGTAGTCCCAAAAAACTCAGTGCCATATTCAAAGAGGGTGTAATGCGGTAAGTGAAAGTGTATTTCACCATGAGGCTTAAGCATTTAAGAATGCTCGATGATGCGTGATGTTCCGCAGAGTTCAGTACAAAGACCTCTTTTCTGGTATATAACGTTTAAAGGTGTAATGTGACTTAACATCCCGATGGAGGCGTTTCACCTAATCACTAGCGGGACCTAGGGCCTATATTACACTCGCGCTCCATCTGGTTCTGTTTCTGGTATTCGCTTTCAGCTCTTTCCAGCTTAACCCGAGTTTCTTCTCCTCTTCGCGCGGTCTGCCGGAGGCCTGGCTCTGCTGATTAGGGGATTCCATAACAAGGCTTTATTAGCAATACTTATGCCTTCTTTGCGCAAACTGTGACCTACTCACTTCCATATCTGTCCCCGAATCCAGGTGCCTAGGAGCTCCTTGATAGCCTTTCATAGCAACTGCAACATTAGATTTGAAAAGCCTAATCTGTAACCTGGAACTCAGATTGTTGTTTTGCCATAACGTCTACAACATATCAAAGGCAGCTTTGGCTTTACGTATTCAACGTCCAATGTTTTCGTCAGTTCCTCAACCGGCGGTCACTGCGCTGACAAGGCATATGAAATTCTTCACAGTCTCAAGAGTTTGGTTGGAGACTTGGCAGTCATACTTAGAATTTGGGTCTTATTGAAGCTGAACATTTTCAGGCCTGTCGCCTTAAATAGCTTATATGTCTGGCGTGTTGCCCTTTTTAGACATATCAGAAAGACGATACACCAAGAGGCATATTTCCTGTCCCGTATTTTCTCTTGGCTGCCCTGGTTGTAGGGGGTGAAACTCTACGCTCAAGCTTCCCGGAAGCATCCATGGGTGTAGTGCGGGCACATCCAGGTCTATGCTTCCCAAGATGAAGGTCAGTTTATCCTGCGAGAGTGAGGAAACAGTGTGTAGTAGACGGACGAAGTAGCTGATGGGAGAGGTGCACGATACATGACCCAAGTATGGGGTCTATGGGTCCCAACGGCGATGAAGGCGACGGTTTTTTTCTTGTATTGAAAGAACTGTTGGACTTAAATGCAGTAATTTATGTATATCGCTAGCTTAGAGTGAAAAGTTGCTAAGTCCACTTTTTATGAAAACTCATATTTTGATATAGGAGGCTAGAGAAATTGAATACGCATCGTTTCGAAAATTATAAAGGTACTTGTTTTATTTTTTCCTCTTCATAAGCAATAAAAGGAAAATCTGCTAAGTCCAAAAGAAGCACCACAAATCCGATAAGGCCAAAATAATACGACATCTTTTAATAAATATCGAATCCTTCTGATTCTTATGGAGTTTTGCTTTGCTTTAAACGCGCAAAATGTTTGATTCAAACTCTTGCGAAATAGTTAAAGAAAATGGCTATAGGAAGATTTTTTAAAATGGGACTTAGCAACTTTTCTTTCTAAGCTAGCGACATATCAATTAAAACTTTTTATTTTCTTCCAAATTTTTTCTTGATATTTTAATTCGATTCAGGAGTAAATTACTCCAAAAAGCAGAGTAAAAACAAAACTTCCGAACAAGTATTTCATTTTACTAGGAAAAGCTTCGAAAAATCCCTCTTGGAACTCTAACTGTGTTGTATGAAATAGGTAATCCACTCAAATATTTTCAATGCGTGCAAAAACAAAACATATTAAGGTAGTTAGGAGTATTTGAAATAAAGTAGACCATAAATATCACACCATTTAAAAAAAAAGCATTATACCCTGTACTTTTCTACTTTATGCAAATCTATTCCTACATTTATTTATTAACAACTTTAACTAGCATATATATGTATGTATAATAATTTACCTTTTCTCCATAATATTGAAACGATATGGTAACAAAATGAATGCATTTATCGCCATGTCGACTGGTATTATTTCAGATCTTAATTCACCATTGCACAGCATTGAACGTATAACACCTTTTCCAGCACCGATCATAACTCCAGTGGGTCCATTTAGATTATCCACCCAACCGGGGTGTGGTTCTTGCACGGCGGGAGTGACTGTAAAATATTTAAATTAGTGAACATATAAATATGTACATATTTCTTGTACCATAAATAAGCTATTACATTTTTATGTACCAGAAAATACACGAATACTATTCTATAGTACATAAATTTACATACATACATATGCAAATATATCTCTAATTGAAATGTAAATTTTCATGAAAAAACATCAATAATTCCGTCCGGTAAGAGGATCAGTAGTAATATATTTCTAGGTTAGGTCATTTAATCGAGCATCAATTTCAAATCTTTAGGCGGTACCTATTTTTTATCGAAATTTTGAGATTTTCTATTACTCTGAAAATCCGAATTTGCCATTATATTTGCGATCCGACAAATCTTTAGTACAGCCTTCATGCAAAAAACATCCAACAATGACCGAAAATTGCCAAAAACGTAGAGTTTTGTAACAAAATAGCCAAATTTTTTTTTAAACACATTTTATTTATTATTATTAAAAATTTCATCGCAATCAAAGAAGAAAAACTGTACCACTCATAAAAAAAATAGTGGGTAGGCACTGTGGCCAATGGCAGCCATCTGTTATCACCTCTGCTTGGTTGTAAGCCACGCAAAGTCCATAAAAACTACGGATGCATCAGACTAGGCCGAGCATATCTACTTTGAAGTGCCATCAAATTATAACATAAGAAACTTTTATTACATGACAGTCGAGAAGCACATATGCAAAAATTTCATAATTTCATGCACTTAGGCGCTCGGTGTTAGTAGTCGCGCTTAAACAATTAAAGTTTTTTTTCCAAAAAATAAAAAAAACTCTTGAAATGCATATCTGAATAGGTAACCTAGCGCGAGAAATATTTGGTTTTAACCAGCTCTTTGGTTTTTAATAAGGGAACATTAAATTACATTCTTTTCTAGAAAATATGAATAATTACTAAGTGGCAGTCATAGGACAAACTTACAACAGATATAAAGTTCATAAGCATAAGAAGAGCAAAATATGAAGGTACCGGTACCATAACGTTTAAAGAGTGAAGTGCAAATTTGATTAACATATTTAGGACACGTTTAATGCTTTTGGTGTCAACCTAATTTCTCTGTCTCCATATAAAGACATTATAGTCAAGAGCAACTACTTGAATCTGAAAATTTAAAGGCATTACGCCTTATAAAACCCAGTACATACTACCACAGCTATGGGGAAGCTTTCAACGAAGGGTTTGAATGAAATGGGTATTTCTGTAGAGACGTACTGCAAGTTGTGTGGGTTTATGGAGGAAACCTCGGGAGGGCTCTGGGCTCATTCTATGTGACTGCCCACGTGTCATAAATACCAGACTGATACACCTAGGGGAACGATTATCTTTTCCATCCAAAATTTGGAACATGCAACCTTCCAAAGTGCTTAACTTCTTAAATAGCCTAAAGTTGGAGTGATTAAAATATGGGTTTAGCACAATAGAACACATAGGTCTCAGCGTATACCCAACATAATAATAACAATAGTGTTATCTTCAAGTCTTAACTTTTTGACTTAAATGCATCATGCCAAAGCAGCAGTCTCTTTTATTTCTAAATTATAATTGATGGAAATGTCCAATATGCGCAACCACGGTCAAGGACCTAATTGGGACTTAGTAGCATAAATAAGGCATTTCCATAAATTACAGTTTGGAAGTAAGAGAGACTGATGCATTTCTGACTTTTATGGTACCTTGCGAATGCTCTTCATATATTTTTAGCCGTTTACAGTTTACGACATACAACTTTATGACTGTATAAAACATCTTGTGAACTTCCTAAATATGTCGGGGGATTATATTCCATACCCTCTATTTACAATTTTCACAAGAACTACTTTGTGATGTTAGAAACCATCTGGGACTTACCTGTAATCACTGATGTTAATTATAACTTTACAATTTAATTGTTAATTCTTCTGTAAAGCGTTGTGCAAGGTCAGCATTAATATCTACGATGGCAGTTAAGTCTTAGGTCGTTTTTTATATCTGAATCTAATTTTTATGAAATGTGCAGATAGGGGGTGTTGAATATAAGCCCTCGATATATAAATATGTATATACAAATATGTGGACTTCATAAGTAATTAAAAAATGTCGTTTTATTTCAAGGTCACATGATCCTCTCTTTGGTTTAATTCTTAGAAATGAAGTCTATGAAATAGTAATTCGAATAAAAAATGTATTAGTATTTTATTAAATTTTATTTAGAATAATTTACCATATGTACTACAGTACAAGCAAATTTTATTAGCGATAATAATTGGTCCTACACACCATTTTTTTTATAAAAATGGATGCTCATAATTTTAAGTACACTATATTTATTTGCCTGAGTCACACAAGCTTCTAAAAGTATCAAAAATAGAGGTAGATGCAGTTATACAATACAAAACAGAGTATTTTTCTAAATTGGCAAGTGATCTTTTAAGGAATAAATTTACTATATTTCATTTATCAACTCTTCGTTGCGCGAGAAAAGCGCTAAAACGCCTGTCCACTTCAATAAATAATATACGAAGAGTCCAACAATTACGGTTTTGCAGAAGCGATCGATGCCATACATTCTGAAAAAGATAAGAGTAATACCGGTTATTGTACATAATCTAAAGTAATCATATGCTTGCTTCCAAGAAAAGTTAATGTTACTATGCATTAATAGTAATAAATTACTAACAATTTTCTGGGATTTCGTTTCAAGGATTTCAAAGCAAGAATACCTACATATCGATGGCTGAGTGGAAGATCGACCTATCTCGGCAGCCACTACTAGTCTGAGAAATTCAAGCGTGACATATATGTAACACTCGCGTTTAAAAAGAGTTAATATCTTGAGCATGGAAAGAGGAATCGGCGCTGGTCTATATTCCGAAGATGTGCCGATCATATCATAGCTTTATAAATGGGCGTTCTAGCAGAGCTCTTTACTAATATAGAAGGCGAATCATCAAATACAGAATAGTACGACTACATATACGTATGTGCGCTCTTCAATCAAAGTAGCCTAAGTCGGGATATGCCCTTTTCCCTTTAAAGCAACATTTCATTGGGTGTCCAAAGAATATTTTAGCAGTTAACTAGCCATACGCGTAGGTCAAGATGCCCTTTTAATAGGAGCTTAATAAAAATATAAACATTTTCAAGGGAAACTGATTATTTTTTAATTCAAAGTCAAACCCTCTAAAGTCACTTAAGTTACTTTAATTGAACGGCACAAATATGTAATAGGTCAAAGTCATTATTTTCTTTGACAATCAAGTCAGCAGGTGCTACGATCTAAAATACTATTCGGGTCGAGAAATAGTCAAAAAATCCTGCTAGCGCCGTAATCATTGAACACGTCAATACCACTCTTTGCGAGACTCCCGAGCATGATAAAATTAAAGCGAACCACTGAAGTTAAACAAAATCATAGTAAAACAAATTTCCGGTCCATCATAAGACACTAAGACACTGCACCTAGCACTTCAAACGGTGGTGTACACCAATACACAAGAAACTGCGCTCCATGAGGTTGTACAAAAGGTGTAGTCTTCGCTGGGAAATAAACGATATACGTTGGCATCACTCAGCAATATAGGGATTGAGAACTTCCTGGTAAAGTGGATAGGAAGCAGCGAAGTAGCAAAATATGGCATACGTTGCGTTTTTGCGACTCATTCCAAGTTAGATAGGCACATTGTGCTCTGTATTATGGCAAGAAAATTTTTGTTAAAAAGTTGGGCCTACTCCCTGATCTTATGATGTGTAGAAGGCGGTGTTTCGCCCAAATATTGCATACAGTTCGCTGGTTTAGTGGAAAGACATAGATACAAACTAAGATTATACAAACAATATTGAGTACGGTACAAAGGTCAGCTTGCATTGCGAGGGCGATCTGATTCTGTTTAATGGAGACCTTCAATGTTATCGGTCAAATGAAACCGATTAATATTTTCATTAAGGATAGTGCTTCACAGAGTGCGCTGAGGTTAAGGGAACTGATTCCGTGGAACCAACGCACCATACGTGCGTTAACAGATCATTGAAGATTAAGGGATCTGGTCCAACGATTTATGTCGATCCTGTGACAATTCAGCTGAACACATGCTTTTCGAATGCGACGCCGAGACGAGAAGACGAGAGAAGCACCGAAACACATACACTCGATGTCTGCAAACCACCTTTTGGTCTTCCTAATCGTTTAAAAAATTTTCTGAGTGTTCGGAATTTATGAGTCTGAATTTCGTCATAAATATGATTCTGAGACCCGTTAACAAGGCTGACTTATTTCGGACTCTTTTGAGGTAATAAATTCTGAGTTGGACAACAGTAACATAGTTCACGAGAAGTTAACGTTTATTAAAAATCACCATTATTAAAAAAATATTTGTGTTTAAAGAGCTTTAAACAGCCATATGTGTGCATTTCAAAGTCTAATTCGACTCCAAACTTGGAGGGCGTGCTCTTTTAATAAGAGAAATATACTCTTTTTAACTCTTTTTTGAACTCATAATCTGGGTTACAACTCAGAATTCTGAGCCTTTTCTGACTCTAAAACCAGTCCGAATGTTTACAAGGAAGGGTTTAGACTTGAGCGAGGTGTTGTAAGGAGCAAGACGGCACAATAGATCTCTTGGTCGCACTGCAGAGCTCCACTAATACCTGCCTATCTATCTACTGCAACTTCTTATTTTCTTAAACTCCTCCGCGGACTGTTAACTTGTTGCCTCCTTACAGGGTTTTTGAATTTTACACTTATTTTTCAACTTGTTTTCCAGCAGCCGGATGCCAACATTCGCTAATTTTGATCGCTAAAAATCTCAAAAGGAATAGCAGAGGGGCCTAACAAAATCTAGTTACATGCCTCTCATACTGCCTTCTTTGGCTTACACATTGCATCTGCTATGTCTCCATGTTGTGTACTTTTAGGCCCAACTGCTTTTCATTTAGAGAATTTTAGCGACGAAAATTAAGCGTAGCGATTGTCAGAATTGCACTGTAGATGTCGGTAATTATCAGCCTTATTGTGAAATACTATTTTAAGGAAAATTTCATTCTATACACTTCTACCACTGAGTAAGAATGTTACTGCAAAGTCAAGAAGCGAGCTTTAATTTGAAAACTCTTCACTCTTAAGGCTTCTCCCTAATCCTATTGTAAATTAACCGGATATATATATATATATACTCACATCTTCTGATGGAATCTGGCCTTTGGTAAGTCCTCGTTCTTTTCTTTTAAAATATATTCACGGCCACCTTTAATGCAACCAATTAGATACTCCTCTTCGCTGTGTTCGGTATTCATGTTCATGTTGAAGCTACGAGTATATAATTTTAATGAGTAATAAAAAGTGAAACTGCTCATTTTTGTAATGCTTACATAGCTTTATCCTCCTTTGAAAGATCCTGCCATAAATTGCCAAATTTATCTGATCTAAAGCACCACGGATGTAGAGTGAAAAACTGCAAAACGTCAAGACCGGTGGAGATTTTGTTTTGAACGCGAACCATGCTGAAATATTGGCAAAGATTGAATAGTGTACGTATTTATACATACCTATGTACGTATGTATGCAAATATGATTGGCTAAATTGAAGGATAGAGGGTGTTTCAAAAAGAGTTGTTGGTTTTTCTTCTAAATATTTTTCTTTTTTTCACATATAAAGTTCAGATATTAAGGTCCAGTTTTTATAATACGAAAATTTAAGCTTTTTTTGCGACTTCTTTTTCCAATATATTTTATATGTATTTTAGCATTTTTAGTTTGTAATCATGTTTCATAAATATTTTGCTTTTTTTCAGAAGAACAATGAACTTTTCAGCGTACGAAAGGGCTATAAATATATTTTCGATCAACCTTTATAGTTTTTTACATATTTGTTTTTTTTTTATCAAAATAAGGAATCTTCTCTGCACCTTAAACCTTTTTCTTAATAAAAAATATTTAATAGTTTTGGTCAAAATATATTTGCTATTCTTGGATTTAATTTTGCGGATAATGTCTTTTTAATTAATTAGTAATAAATAAAATATGCCGCATTAAAAGATTAAAATAGGCAATAGTTTCAGTCTCTGGTTAAATTTGAAAACTTATTTGTAAAAGTTCACTTTTTGTAACTTTGTTCTTACTTTCTGACAAAGCTCCCAATTTCTACACCCTTTAATTAAAAAAAAAAAAACTTACAATCGCTTTTGCCCGAATATCAGTAGTAGAAAGTCCAAGAAGTATGCGGGCAACCAATGGAACATCAGCACATTGAAATGATGGTACAACTTGTTGGTTGTGATAACAGTATCGGGATACCAGAGCCCCACATTGAGTGGATAGTCACGTCCCAAACGCTTACACATGCTGATCACATCACCCATTTTCGTCTTGCGATGATCGGCATTAGTGATATTGTAGACGGGCACCTCGGTGGGACTAAAAAGAATTATGTTGATACTAATATACTACATATGTACATATACTGTCAACTAAGTAAAATAAGAAAGTTTGTTATGAATTAACCCTCAACATAATTGCGGTTATGATTTATTACCAAAGATTTCTCATTGGGCTTTAAATAACAAAAATTTAGTACACACTCATTAAAAAGCTTTAGCCGATAATAACACCGGGCAACAGTAAATTTTACACACACAAAAATAAATATAACTACTCGGGAAACTAGGGGCCAAATACTACATATAGGAAAACCGCGAGTTTGTGAGTTTTTCTCTCTCAAGTCAGAAATTTTTCAAATCGGCTTTGAAATTTTAAAATTTAATTAAAAAATTATTTTGCAAAATTCAGTGCAATGCATGGTGGAATAATAATTCAACCATGAGTGCAATGTAGAATAACAATATGGATACCAAATTAAAAAAAAAAAACTTCTGAAGAATTGAGCAAAATAAATTTTTTTTGTGAACTGAAAGGAAAGTATCCTTTTAAAGTTTCATTTTTGAATATCTTTGAAATTTTCCAATAGCTAGTTTTGAAAAAACAAAGGCAGTCCGTCCTGTGAAGCCCATATAGCTTTCAATTGCCTTTATGCAGAGGGTTATTTGAGTTCGCTTTGCATGAATGCAACCACTTACCGTGCGCTGCTCTTGTTAAATTCGTATGGCATCACAATCAGTCCGTTGATGGCATAATCGACTGGAATAACTTCGGAGCGATTATTTTCATCTACAAGCACGGAGCGTATGACGCCTTTGCCAACGCCAATCATCAGACCTGTGGGTCCATTTAAGTTGTCCACCCAACCTTCTTTCGGCTCAAAGGCGGCAGGAGTCACTGGATTTATTTTTTTATTTTTTTTTGTAACGCAAATAGTTTTAGAAGAGAAAAAGTAATGAGAAAGTTAATTTAAAGTACATTTAAAATAATAATCAATAAACAAATATTTACCAGTGAACCGCGCCACAATGAGGGTATTAGTTGGCTGAGATGTGTATGGATGTATGTATGTGTGATTGTGTGAGTGGGTGGTTGTTTGGTGTGAGTGATATTTTGGGTGAGTTTTTTGTTTTAATATTCATGTTTGTATGTGAGTGATTCTATATGTATAAGTAGATATATTTATATTTGTGAGAGAACAATAGGTTTATTTATGTTTGTAGGTTTGTATGTATATATGCATAATAGAGTATATGTAGCGTATATATGTATTAAAGTATGTACATAAATTTATTCTTGTATTTCTGCTGGATAAGTCTTGTAATTTGTTGGTATTTCTTTGTGTAAGTGTAGCCAATTTAACCCTATAATCCTGGAAAAGTCTGCCTTACAGTAAACACAATTTCCACACATATAACAAGTTCTTATTACAAACGTATTTATTTAATTGAAACGAATAAAATTGCAGTTTGCAGTAAAGAATCACTGCATGACCGATTATTTCTTCCAAGACTTAATACACGTACATTAATGGCCGCTGCCATGTCAAACTATCGAATGTGAAAATGGGTATTTTTCAGTGGAGCAAAAAAACTGTTTTGTGGGATTCGACACTTTGTTTGTCCTCTGCTTCTAAGAAGACTAGAAATTTCACGATTTGCCAAAACATTTTTGCACATTCGATAGTTTGACATGATAACGACGATATATGGTAAAAGTATTCCTAACGTTATTTAACATTTAAGGGTTGAATAGGTAAAAAAAACTGTAAAGAATAACGCCGTACTGCAGTAAGTCGACCTCTTGGCGCACAAACGAAATCTAGAAGCGACTGTGGCACAGCTTCCTGTTTGGAATCGTACCCACATTGGGCTTCAGAACTCTAAACGCGGTATTAGGTATAAAATGAGACTAACCTCCCATGAGCTCCGCGTCCACCCACAGCTTTACTCCTCAGATGACGAAGACCGCAATCAGGTGGACTAGTAATCAGTGTACGAGACTTAGTAGTTGGATGGTTCAGGCTGTAAATTTTTACACGGTTGAGCGAAGCTTAACGGAAGGGTGGTTTAGAGGTCTCCATAGAGAACTCTCGATTACCCTCAAACTTAGGCTTTCACATCACTACAGTGTTTTCCACGCAGTGTTAATTGTAATTAAGGAAACAGTAGATGAACTGCTCAATTCAATAAATATCTTCCTGAATTCCTGAACGCTCTTTTAGTTGGATCTGTTCCTTTCATATCCAGACTTATACGAGTATATGTACTGCGTCACAATGATAGTGAAGGAAACTGTTTTGCGGATGAGTTGACTAGGAAATACACACTCGAGTTGGCCTCGCCGAAAAAAAGAGAGAGTAGCAGTACCTTTCACTACTCTTTGACAAAAGAGCCTTTGGTTTAGCTCAGCTAGCGTAGGGGAAAAAACAGGTCATGCGCAATTTCAAAGTCTTGCCCGCCTAAGATGGAACAGAGGTGGTGCAGGGTTCCAATGGCCTTTTCATCGTTACCGAAAAGGAACCAAATGGTTGACGCTAATACACGCGATTGGTTAGAAAGTCGGTGTAGTGGTAAGCAGTGCGCGCTTTCACTCCGCAGGGCCTGGGTTCAAACCCTGGTCAAAGCAACATCGCAAAAAAAAAATTAGAAAAAACGTTTTTTCTTAACAGCGGGCGCCACTCGGCAGGCAATGGCAAACCTCCGAGTGTATTTCTGCCATGAAAAACAGCTTCTCATAAAAATACAATCGCCGTTCGGAGTCGGCGTAAAACTGTAGATCCCTCCCGTTTGTGTGACAACATCAAGGCGCACGCCACAAATCGGAGGAGAAGCTCGGCCAAAAACTGACGTATATGACCTGCAGAATGCGCTGAATATGGTGGCAAAGGACGAAGAAGAAGGGCTAAACATAAACCCTAAGAAAAAGGCTTAGGTATTTTCTCCAGAAGCTTTATTGGAATCTGCACCCAGATAAAGCCATTCATGGCCAGGGTATCCATGAGTCGCCTGAAAGCTAATGGGGAGGAACTGGGGCATCACATCAAAATTGGCATGGTGGATGTATGACACCATTTTCAAAACCAATCTAATAACAATACTAACCGCTGCTATACAGACGCTTCTAAGCGTGCCTTCGCTGCACTTTCTAATCAAGAAAGAGGGTATTTTATTTACAGTACAGGGTACAGTGCGGAAGATAAGAAGCTGATACAACTCTGCAAAGCTTAACTTCAAACAAAACTCCAAGGTCTTTTTGCTTAATGGAACCAATAGGGAGAATTTGGTATATGGGTGGCTTCAAGACTGGCCTTACCGTCGGCTCCCTTTTACTAGGTCAAGGTCAATATATAAAAAGTGGGGGAAGTGGGACACTATTCACAGCCGGAATAAACAGAATGCGTTTGAAATATACGTTAACATATCATCAGGAACGTTCTAAAGAATAAGTAAACAAAAAAGTTTATTCCAAACGTTCACATTGGATAAAGAAATGCAGCCTAGGTATGTATATATATATATATATAAGTTAGGGAAATATTCAATAATATCTAAGGGATATGAAATCGGGATGGTTGAAGTTAGCCACTTTGGGGTAGTCACCCTAACCCGTGTCCCTTAAACACGACAAACAACAAAATTGCACCGTACACCTCTGAGCCAAAAGTAATGGCCAAATGTAATGAGCCAAAAGTAAAAAAAAAACTGCAATAATTAAAATACTTCCTTAGCTTAGTTTAATGCCTTTGTGGGACATATAATTCACTTACGTTAGTGTGATAAATACAAGAACGAAGTTATTGAAGACACTAAACTTTGGAACAAAAAATCGATTTCATACTTTCAGATCCGACTGTAAATGTTGAAGATATGACGAAATTTAAAAAAACGCAACCCTTACGTTCGGCCAAAAAAGGCTTTTTTTTTATTTCCGCGCTAAAAGTACAGACATTGGGGGTGTAAAACTAAACCACATGGGGCACGCCTTTATTTTGTTCTAAGTGCAAAATCAAGGCATCTGAATTAAAAAAAAAAATTAGAGGTCGCTACAAGGGCTTGAAAAAATTAAATTTTATTTAATGGTAAAAATTCGACTTTGGCCAGCTATAACTCAGCGAGTTTATAAATACATAAGTTTCAATAACAACGTACGACAAACACCAAAAACTCTCAAAACAGTCAACATACTTACGAAGCTACGAGCCAAATATAGTAAAACTGTGTTTTAAGTATTTCTCTCTGACGTCAGGGGGTTTTTTTTAAAGGACATTGAAATTTATAATGTGATTAATTTAAAAAAAAAAATTGTTTACAACCTCTGTGCAGTGTAGAATAACAATGTGGGTGAATGAGATAATTGTGTAGCATTTAAAAAAAATAACCTTTTTCCATAAGAATGAATAGGTAGGTATTCGAAATGTTCTCTTAACTAATTTAATTTTTTTATGCTAATAAAGTTCGAAGGATGAAATTCTAATATTTGAAATTTTTAAGGATATTCAAGGATAACATTTTAAAAGGTATTTTCAATATCTATTCGTCCTTATGCACCAATAAGCATAAACTTTTTTAATTTTGCGGAATTTTGTCTTTTATTTTAAATCCATATTGCTATTTGAGGCCATTAGAACAGAAGTGTCCCAACCCAAAAATAATCTTTTTTTGTACTGCCGACTTAAAATAGCCCTAAATATGATCCATTTTGAAATTAAAGTCAATTATTTCTTAATTTTAAGGTACAGAGCAACATAACGTACCACCAAATTTAGGAATCTACATTAAAATTTATTACATTTGAAACTACTTTAAGATTTTGAGTACAAAAAACCAAAAAAAAAATTGTGGGTTAGGCCACTTCTGTTTTTATTGCCTCATTTTACACCAGACCAAACTTTTTAAATAATTTTTGAATTAATCATCTCTTTGGTCCCCACTTTCGAGAATGTGTTTTTGATTTTTAAGTGTATAAAATTGAATTCGCGCGATGTAATATGCCAAATTTATTAGATTCCAAGTCAATATTTTTTCGATTATCTGATTTTTTTTTTTAATTAAAATTTTTTCAAACCCTGGAAGCCACTCCTAAATTTTTTTTTTAACTTTTGAAATTTTCGTGGATGTCCACCCCAACATACATACATATATCTTATCATCTTTGATTAAAATTTTTTCAAATCCTGGTAGCGACACCTAATTTTTTTTTTTAAATTTTGGAATTTTCGTGGATGTTTTTGTTTGGTACGTAGAACAAGGACCACCCCAACATACATACATATATCTTATAACTATGAGTATTTACTTACTGATATCCATTACACTCAATTATTTTGCTATTACATACATTTGTGTTTGCATAAAAAATATGCATTTTTATTTTATTCATATCAAAAACTGACACACACTTATACAACATACTCATGTATGTATGCAAATCATGCGATTGTGTCACTTAAATCTAAATAGGGCAACCTATAAATAAACAAATATAAAATTCATAACCGCTAGGTGCACTTTGTGCAAATAAAGCAAATCAAAGCAAAAATTTCAGCGCAGCTATTATTTTTTATAGCATCCTTTATCCTTGCGGCATTACAGCATTCCTTATGTCTTTATGTACTCATCGGCTCACTTCAGCTGCTTATTGCATAGACGCTTTTAGGCGCTGATAAAGGACGCTATGCGATTATAAAGCCAATATACTAGTAGGCCTACTATCACAGCCTTACAGAAACGATCCAACACGTATAGGCTGTAAAAATCAGAAATGCACACATGTAAGTAGTACATTACAAAAAGTTCACCGTTGCACTCTTCAGCTGCTGACTCTTCTTATGCTTACATTTTGAGATTGCGACGTGCACGCGGCAATGATTCCGGCGTTTCTTTCATCAGATATAGGCGGCCACCATGCAGACAAGAGAGCATATATTCTTCAATGGACTCTTTCGGATCCATATCCATGTTAAAGCTGTATAGAGGTTTGATTAATCATTAATTAGTCTTAACTATTTATGAGCAAAATGTGTACGCCAACATTTGTTCTATCTCTCTCTGCGTTTAATGCTTACATTTGCTTATCTTCCGGTGTCAGCGATTTCCAGAGTCCATCAAATGCTGGAGATTTGAATACCCATGAACGCATCGAAAAGAATTGCAGCACACTCAGTCCTATTTGAATGCGACGTTGTACGCGTAACATACTAAAATTTAGAGAGAATCATCAGTGGTGCTGAACGAAATCGAGCTTGAGACTTTCATAACACTTACAAACGCTTCTGACCCAATAGGAAGAGTATGGCATCTATGAAATATGCCGGCAACCAATGGAAAAGTATAACATTGATTTGATGATGCAATCGATTTGTTGTTATACAACCATCCGGATACCACAAACACAACTCCATCGGGTAATCATAACCAATTTTCTTGCCCATCTCGATAGCCTCGCCCCATTGCATTTTGCGATGCTCGGCTGCTGTGATATTGTAAATGGGTACGGAGGCGGGGCTGCAGAGGAACGAAAAGGCGCAATTTTAGCTTTGCTATTTAAGGTGTAAAAGGGAAAAACAATTGTTTTTTTTTTTTTTGTTCGCATACCGAGTTGCCTGCTTATTGAACTCGTAGGGCATAACGATAAGTCCATTGATGGCATAATCAACTGGTATAACTTCAGATTTGAAACGCGTATCGATGAGCATAGAACGTATAACACCTTTACCGGCGCCCACCAAAAGACCAGTGGGTCCATTCAAATTATCAACCCAACCGGGAACAGGTTCATACGCCGATGGCGATACTATATCATAGGGAAGGTAGGAATTAAGTTTAATAATTTGGATTAGGATTGCATGAGTAAGGAACATGAAAAATCGTTTGGGAAGGGATGTGGTTTCGTTAGTAATTGGGATAGAGGTTCCATGAAAGGATATGTGAATAATGATCTATGTATTTGCAGATGTTTATTTATTTATATGGAAAATGGGTGGATCGTATGGGAATGAAGGAAATTACGGAAAATGTTGTATAGTAGAATATCAAAAAAATAACTACTGCAATATGTAGCAAAATGGAATAGAATGGTGACAAAAGGTTCAACAGTCTTATGTTTGTGAAAGATCTGGTAGAGAGGTAGCGACTAGAGAATATGTCAAGTGGTTTCATAAGTATATTTATTTGAAAAAATTTAATATTTTACGCTAAGAGCTACACCTTTTTGGTACCAATTTTGGGAGGAGAATTAGCTCATATCTTACTATTTAATTAATGAAGCTAAAGTCACAAAAGTCAGCCACGGACTAAGAGCGAAGAAAGTGAGGTTGCAGAAACTTTGGATACCAAAGACCAGGAGCTAATATGGGCTACTTATAGGACATATCTTGATAGGTAGGATGACTTCTGTAGGATTGTTGGGGGTAGAAGAGCCTGGATAAAGCTGCTGTTTATCCTGGGATTGTCCTGCACTCTGTAGGGAATTACAGAAATTCTTAAGAGGGAGATTTTTAGGTGATCTAAGCGCAACTTCAAAGTCTAGAATGCGGCAGTTGACAAGGCTGGTAGATCCTAAGAACGGTCTTAAACTGGAGTACGGGTTCTGGAGCCCTCAGTCGACGTTGACGGAGTCGATGTTCCTTCGCCTGACGAGGTACGAATAGTAATAGCGCTGGAGCTGACAGCCTGCCAGCTGAGCTATTCAAGTACGTGGCGAGGAGTTGATGAGGTGCATGCATCAACTCTTATGCAAAATATGGTCAGGTGAACGTATGCCCGACGACTGGAATTTAAGTGAGCTCTGCCCAATCCATAAGAAAGGCGGGATCAGCCTTCTAAGCATAGGTTACAAGGTCTTATCGAGTGTATTGTGTGAAAGACTGGAGCACACCGTCAATGAACTGATTGGGCCTTATCAATGTGGCTTTAGGTCTGGCAAATCCACCATAGACCACCTGGTCGCAATACGCCAAATCCTGGAAAAGACACACGAGAAAAGGATCGATACTCACCACCTATTTATCGACTTTAAAGTCGACAACACTAAGAGGAGTTGCCTATACGCCGCTTTGTCTGAATTTGGCATCCCCGCCAAACTAATACGGCTGAGTAAAATTACGTTGAGTAATACCACCATCTCCGAACCGTGCGCCACCAAACGGGGTTTCAGACAGGGCGACTCCCTTTCATGTGGCTTCTTTAATCTGATGTTGGAGAAAATAATAAGAGCTGCAGAACTGAACCGCTCCGGAACAATTTACTACAAGGGCGTGCAATTTCTGGCTTATGCCGATGACATCGATATCATCGGTAACAAAAACCGCGAAGTCTGTTCTGCCTTTTCCAAGTTGGATAAGGAAGCGAAGCGAATGGGTCTGGTGGTAAACGAGGACTAGACGAAGTATCTCCTGTCAACTAACAAACAGTCACTGTTGACAGTTATAATTTAGAGGAAGTAGAGAATTTGGTTTACTTGGGAACCAACATTATAACCGAAAATAATGTCAGCATGGAAATCCAACGCAGAATCACTCTTGCCAACAAGTGCTACTTTGGATTGAGTAGGCAGCCAGTTGGCACAGAAAAGAAACGACTGGCGTGCTTTGTTGAACTCGGCCAAAATCGCTTAGGCAGTTACAGCGCCAAATAGGAAGAAGAAGAAGAAGAAGAAGGAGGTGTATTCTGTCAGGGTCCTAGGATCATTTCGTGTACTATAGAAACTGCTCAGGGATTGTCTGATGTCTTCCTCGACCACCTCGGATTATTTCCAAATCAAGTTGATTTGGGTCCCTGGACTTAGTGACATTATACGAAAAAGCATAGCTGATCAGTTGGCTAGGCAGGGTACAACTGAGGTCATCTCTACGGATAGGGTGGTCATAGGAGTATTTAAACGAAAACTTCGAAACATAAGTTGTAAAGTCTTTTTGGGCGATGGTTGACTGCGGGCGGTCAAAGGAACTTCTGCAGCGCAAGACTCGGTTCGGACAGTTGTCCTGAGCGAACACTGTTTTATGGATGTGTCATGGTTCTTTCGGTAAAATACAGGGTGTATAACCTAAAAGGATCCTATAGATATATAGTACATATACAGCAGTGCTTAGAGCAATTACCACTAGGGAAAGTACACAATGTATTACCGGTTTTCGCACCTAAATTCATTCTTTTAGGAGGAGGCTGCGAAATCTCTCTACAGGCTGAAATCTTTGAAACAGTGAAATAAAAATCGTGACTTAAATAGAAGCACATTGCCTCGCTTAGAGGCATTGAATATACCTTTTGATTCCTGTATACCGAAGTTGAATTTACTTAGATTATTTGGTGGCAATTAGTTCTGGGCATATTTACGGGTGATTCCAAATCAGAACTTGGCTCTGGAGCAGAGCTATTTGTTGAGCAGGATATCATTCAACTTTTCCTTTATATAGGGAGAGAGCTGGAGGCTCTTTCCTACCTTATTGTGTAGGTAGACTACGTTGAGAAATAAAATAACGTTTTTCGCAAAAAATTCTTACTTATATATGGGCACCCTAGTCCTTACTAATATTATAAATCTGAAAGTGACTTTGTTTGTTACGCTTTCACGCTTTAACTACTCAACCGATCAACATGAGATTTTGTACACTGGTGCTTTTTAGCCCAATTTAAAATATAGGATAGATTTAGTCTGCGGCCTGGCACCTCCCATAGACACGTAATTTTTCATACTGCATATCTCAGGAAATATTTGTGATAGATTACTGGAGCTTGGTATAGAGATATATTAAATCAAATTAAACTTGAAGTAAGGGAATTATTTATTTGAAAATTATATTAAAAAAATTATGCCAAGAGGCTTAAAAAGGTTGTTGTTTGAAAATATTTTGAAAAGGTTGCCACCTGTTTGAAAAGTCAAATTTAAATTAATTATTCGCAAGCTATCCGAAAAATTAAAATATGGGTGTCATACGAAAGATTATTAGGAACATTTAGTGTTTTACAATGGTTGCCACCCGTTTAAAAATAAAAAATCAATTAATTTAATTTAATTACTAAAATATGAGTACCAATCGAAATGTTTTTGAAAAGGTTTTTAGTTTTAAACTAATGAAGGAAGGTTGTCACCTGTTAAAAAAATCAAATGTTACTTCAGTTAAGGGAATTAGGTAATTGGAATATGTTCACAATATTGGTGTCGGACGTAAGCGATTTAATCAGAGCTATCACAGAATTCGTCGCAGGCCGAATTTTCGCGAAATCTACGAAAATGCTATCATTAAATCTGAATAGATTCGAACGAAGCATAAACTTTGAACGCATACGTTCTTAGCAATTCGGAATCAGTGATCGTATTTTTGTAGATTTTACGAAAATCGGACTACGATGGTTTTAGCGATCACCCAGAATAAGGTTTTCATTGGAAAATATTTGGAAATGGGTTGCCACCTGTTTTGAAATTCGAATTTAAATTAATTATACTCCAGTTAATGTGTCAAAAGTAAGAGTAAGAGAGCATGAACATGCAGAATTTTCTGAGGTATTTGAATTCAATTGAAATTCAAATACAAATATATAAGAAGTTAAATGAGTTATTACGATATTAATCGAAAGAGTCTTGAATGCCTTTATTTCTAAGCTACAAATGTATAGCAGGGTTTCCATATATTAAAAAAATTCAAATTCTACTGGATTTATGGGAATTAGATAATTTCAATACATATGTATGTATCACAATATGACTGTCAGACGAAAGAGGTTTAAAAAGGTTTCCAACTGTTTTAAAAATTAAATTCAAACTATTCAACAATTTCAATGAATTATTACAATAAGGGTATCAATCTAAATGGTTTTGAAAGGACTTCATTTCTAAACTACTTGCAAGTAAGAAAAAGTATCACAAGAGAGAGGTTTAAGAAAGTCTTAGTTTGGAAATATTTTAAAGATGGTTAAAAAATGTAAAATCTTCTGTCTTTGGAATAGTTTATGTATGTTGAGTCTTATCGAAAATACACATTAATGTAGCATGCAGAAATTTCATGCACTCAGCGAACCGGGTGAGGGCGATCTAGTTCTTTCATAATTAAAAACATATCACCCTGGTATCGTAATTTACAGATGTCATAAGGAAGAAAAGCGAGGTTAAAAGTCTGCCCATTAATTTAGGAGTAATTGAATAATTCTCCCCACATACAGCCTACGAGTAAAATAAAATTTGTTTGGCACTAAGGACTACGTCGAATCATTGTAGCATTGCATTAAAGATCATTATTAGGATATTAACTGAATCCTGAATCTTAGACATACACGTAGACTCGTTTTCCTTATAAGGTTTACCGGTTGTTAGTAAAGTAATATGTTAGGTAGTTCTTCTTTGGCGTATATTTTGGAGGATGCTTATCTACTGAAAAGTCCTCTAAAGGAGAGTTAAGTTCAGATATCAATAGTCTTTACAGGTATGACAAGAATGGCATTAGATTAGAACGAATTCGAATATCTCGGAAAATAGTGTTTAAGTACAACATTTATAAAGGAACCGGAAGGGTAAGGATAGTAAATATTGGTTAGGGATAAATGAGAATAGGTGAATTAGGTGTAAAAAAAACTTTAATGGAAATGTGCAGGAACTATGCATGTATCTATAGAAAAAGGTATGCAATGTTAAGAGGAAAGGTTTTTGTCGGCAATCCACATTATTGTGGTCTATAGAAGGAGTGAGGAAAGTACAGGTATTTATTGGTTTCTAAGGGCACTCAACATAATATTATTATTGGTTTGCAATTAACATACCGTTTATCTTTTAGCTGTAATTATTTCCTTCATATTTTATGCAAAGCAACAATAGCACGCAGCAAAATTCAAACACAAAGGATCAAGCACTGGTTTAAGCTCAGTGGAAGCAATTGCAGCGTCAATTGTTTTTAGCTGAAAGTGTAAATTGTTTCTGGACGTGCCTTTGCGTTGGTGAATAGCAAGTCAGTGGTATAGCGTAACCAGCCTTATGCTTGTGAAGCTGTTTAGGCATACATTGTCAGCAGCGGTATTGCAACGTTTCATTAACACTTTTGAAAAGTTCGTTCGTACCTCTTTCTTCGTCGACGACAATGCTATTGTGGTGAAGGTGGCGAGCGTTTGCGAAGCACTTAAGCTTGAGTTTATATTGGATGAGCATAGATAAGCTTGTGGCGGACAGATGGTATTTGTAAGCGCATTTTGTAAGCATCGTTAGAGTACATAGATAGGTATGCATGTAAGTATTTAGGCCTTTGCTGGCATGTATGTATGTAATGGTATGTAAGCAATTCTCACAGTGTTTCCGTTGTTGTGGCAGTGGCTGTGACACATATCAGTCACAAAAAAATTTAATATTTTTTCTATTTGTTTTCATATATTTTTGCAAATAAACTCACAATTTTGATTTTCATTTGGCCGAACATAAATTTTGTTGTTAAACTTATTCAATTCTTAGCATATTTGTATGATTCTTTCAACTGCACTTGCACTTAAAATTATTTTTTGATACTTTTTTTTCTTTTAATGTAATGATAAATGTTTTTATGTTACGAATACATGGCGAATGAGTTCACAAACCATTGCGGAATATGTGATACGCGAGACTTTTGCAATATCTTTCGAAATATGTTTATAGCACTAAGAGTTAGTTGTTTTTTGTTGTTTTCCTTTTTTGTTTAGTTACACAAGTCAAGCGAGCGCAAAGAAGCTTGAGTGTTTATAAAGCATTTTGATTTTTAGGAAAGCACTTAACACAAATGCACACAAAATATCAGCCGGCGAATGTAAAGCGATCGGAAAGTATGTAAGCTCTTTTGAAATTTCGATTCCAGAAAGTGGTTAGGCATAGTTTGACATAGGAAGGCTTATGTTTAAACTTAAATAAGATATACATATGGGTTATATGTAGATAATACATCATAGAAACATACATATACATAGATATATGGACAATATATGTACACACATTTGGGTGCTTCATCAAAAAAATGTACGATAAAATATTTCGGAGAGGTATTTATATTTCTGTGAACTGTACCAATTTGAAAATACGTCTAAAAATCTCACCATTAAAAACTAATTTTTAGAGGCGTTTTTAAACCAGTTTAGCTCAAGTTAATTTTAAGGTTTTCCCGAAAAAACTGGCAGTATTCTTAAAATATAATAAACTTATAATTCCAAAAAAAATATAATTGTAGGGAGATTGAAAGTTTGAGTAGAAATTTTTCAATATAAAGGCTGGGATGTATTTTTTCTTACAAATATAATAATTTCATAAAATGTATACTAATAATAAATTTAAGTGATATAAATAAAATATGAATGAGTTTTGTTGAAAAAATGTACTCAAAAAACTTAACAGATAAATTGTACTCGTCTCGCATAGTAAAAATCCTCGCAACATTTTTTCAGGGCAATATGTATATTGAAGGCTCTTTTCTCTGTTTCGAAAGACTAAATGAAAGATCTACTAACGTGGAGGTCTTAGAGTTATTCTCTTTGCTTTTAGAAATAAGTTTACTAAAAAATATGAGTATATATGTATAGTAGACTATGCCAAATAAAACGAATGTTTTTTTCTTTCGGTACTATATGAAAATTTCGAGCGAGCTGTGGGCATAAAACGGCACGTATTAGAATTAGTTGTAGTTGGTATACCCGCCACATCAATCAATTGCTGATACTTAAAATCTTCTATCAAACTATGTATGTACGTATGCCTACTCAAGTTTTTCCGAAGAATTGCATTTAAAATCAAGCAATCAGCTCATTCAGTTAGTAACTCGCTGCAAAATGAATGCTTGCACAGAAAAAAAAGGAAATTACACAATCAAACGCACAATGCTGCGCGGAATTATGATATCTACTATTCAATTTGCTAAATTGACTTGTGTTGCAAGGTAAAATTACTGTACGAACAGGCATTGACTGTGCTGGGACAAAAGCAAGCAGCAGCAATGTTGAGCAACATGTTGCCCAGCAACCATGTACGCTACAAAGCGACAGATAAAAATTCAATTATTTTATTATGCTGCTGACATTTTGAACCAGGAAAATGCTTATAAATACAAAGGTAGATTGGGCGGCATTGTGCAAACTTTACGAATTGTTATTTTATTTTTTTTTAATTGGCAATAACATTAAAGCGTTAAATTTAATTAATATTAATGCAAGGGAAGGGCGATTGACCTGAAATGGGGTAGATTAATTTGCAGCAAATTTAAATTTCTATTAAAGCAGAGCTGCACAAATATGTAATTGCATTAGATGCTTAAATATTTTCAATGAAATCCATGAGGTATTCAAGCATTTAAGATATTGCTAATTTCGAAGGAAAATTAAGCTTTATGCGCCAAACCCAACTTAAAGCTATTTTATTTTACATGACCAATAAAATACGGATATCTTCCTTTATAATTATGGTCTTGGTACTCACCAATACTGGGACGGGCTATAATCACCGGCATCGTTTCATAATGATCGCGCACCAAGATCTCAGCTAAACGTTTCGAGTAGGTGTATGTGTTTGGGTGTGGCTTAAGCAATTCGGGTGTGATGGAATCGAGTGTCTTAACATCCATCCACTCGACCAGACGCATGAGATCCTCTGGCTTGTGTGGATATTCATAAACCTTTTCGTACATAACTTCCTGATCGCAATTGCAGAAGGCGGTGGAAACATGTACGAATGCCTCAAGTCCCTTCATTTGCTTGGCAATGTCGAGTGCACGACGAGTTCCTGTGGTGTTCATGTCAATGGCATCCTTGAGATTGCCCTCCAATTTGAGTGTTGCCGCCATATGGAAGACGATGTTTGTATTGTCGATGACATACTTTAAATTTTCGCCACTAAGCCCGAGATCTGAGGGGTGAGGAAAGTATTTAAAATTTTAATATAACTTTGATCAAATTAACAGTGGAATGATAGATGCATAATATATAGTAGATAATACATACATAAACAATTATTTGATAATAGGTAAACAATAGAAAGAGAATAGGTATGGCAAATTGGATGTATTTAATATAAAATATAACAGAAAATAAATAAAATATAATAGCTAATATATTGAAGAAAAACTCGAATAGATAATACATAACATAGTAGATAATAGACAAAAGAAAATTGTTATCAAATAATAGATAATACTGGGGTAGGCGCTCGAAGTGTTGCCAGTTAAATATTCGAAGAGTAATACACGTTTATTAAAATTTAACTAGTTTTCATTAGGAACAGATGTTTTTAAATGGTAAAAAAAAAAATAGAAAAAATTATAGCATTTTCAATTAGTAACACTTCGAACGCATACCCCTGTAAATATAAAATAGATATTAGATATTATTTAATTTCCCTTCATTTACACTCAACTCACTTTCATAAGTCACATCACCATTGAAACTGGTAACTTTCTTCAGCACCTCGGGTTTCTCTTCACGTATACGTTGGAAAATGGGCAATTTAAACATTTCCTCCAAACGAACTTCAGGGCTCTTTCCGCGTTTTGGACGTACAATAATAATGACCTCCTTCAAAGCGGAGCAAGAATACAACAGCTTTTCGACCAAAACTTTGCCCATAAACCCCGAGGCACCCGTAATGAATATGGTTTTGTCCTTGTAGAACTCCTGAACTGGCGTTAATTCCGGCATTTTGTATTCTGCAAAAAATTAATAATTAAAAATAAAATAAATTTTACAACTAGGAATGGGAGATCGTTAAGGAATATAAAAGTATTTTTTTTTTTAACTAGTACTCCATTTAAAAGATAATTTGACTCGGCATCCATGGGTAAATACCAAAGGCAAAGGCGCACCCAAATAAAATGGAAGGACCATTCGTCGTAAATTCAGGAAGGGGGTAGACAAATGGCGAGGTTTTTCGTTTCGGCACATGCCCATTGTAGCGCCATCAAAAAGAAATAGTAAACAGATAAACATTTAGGTTGACGTTCATTTAGCCGTCGCGGCCATGAGCCATGATGGCCCATATTTGATTTGAAAATTTAAATAACGCTTATTATAGTCTGAAATATAAACTTGTGGGAGCGGACAGGCTATTGAACATGAATCGGATTTTAATATTATTGAGTCTATGTGATGCCGCTATTTGGCCAGCCAGTTTTGGTGGGAAAAAAAATTAGGAAACTCCCTTCACATCGCATATCCTAACTATTAGGACGACCCACACATGATCAAAAAAAGATATAAAATGCAAAAAAAAAATTATTTTACTCTCAAAAAGACAGTATGTGTCTGGAATGTTCCGTAAATCAAAACCCTCTAGTTAAGGTTTTATTCCATATTTAAAAGTATTCTAGAAAGCACTCATGTTTTTTCACGAACTCTCATATCGCAAAATGGAGCTAGGTAAGTCAGTGAATTTTTACGAGTTAAATTTGTGTACATATAAATTTTGGTTACCTGAAAACTGGACATAAATTTTTGGCAATTGAAATAGTTAACAACTAGACATAAAATTTATGGAAATTCAAAAACTGTGCAAAATTTTTTGGTAATTTAGAAAATTTTTTTTTGGAAATTTCTGGCAACTTCAGAGATGGGCACAAATTTCTAGTAATAAAAAACTGTTGATTTTTATTGATAATATAAGATTTTGGCAGTTTTGAAACTGGATGTAATTTTTGGAAATTAAATTGGTCTTAAATCTTAACTACAAATAAATTTTTAGTCGCTTAGTTTTTGAAAATTTAAATAATTAAAAATTGGGCATTCATTTATGGCCGTTTAAAAATTGGAAGAAATTTAAAATACTGGATAAACAATTTTTGTAATTAAAAAAAAAAATAAAGGAGTCAAGTTTCTGGGTTCTTAATAACTGGAATACAAATTTCTGTAATTTTAAAGCAATAATTAAATCATACGAAAACTTTTCATAAAATGTTTGTTGTGTCTTTTTTGAAAGATGTATAAAATAGTATATGGACGGAAAACTAGGCAACATTTATTGGGTTCAAAAATGGGACAGTAGCTGAACCTTTTTACAAGTAAATTTCATACTATTCAATTTTTTTGATCTCTCTTTGCAATTCAATAATCATTACCTACTTATCACAGTCCACATTGCAATTCCACTTCTCACAGATTTGGTATCACTTTTGTGTCCAGCTTTTAAATTACAAAAAATTAATATCAAGATTTTACTTTAACGCGTAAATTTGTACATTCAATACCTATACAATTTTTGCCACAACCTCCGCTAGTCAAAACGATATACAACTCAGAGTCCGCCTTTGTCATAAATAATACAAAAATGTTTGCAATTAGTTTCAAAATAATTAAAATGCCAAACAGTACTAATAATACTCTGTTATTAGAAAAGCCACACCATTTATGTACATAGCTGGCCTGCTACAAAACCCTTTCGGTGCTGCCAAATAATGAAGGGTTCAAGTAACCGAGTAATAGCTAATAGAGCTGGGTGGTAGTGATTTAGCAGTTATGATCAACTCAAGTGAGCAGTGGCACAACAATTAACCACAAAGGAGCCATTAAAGTACCCGAGTGGCCATTTGTACAAGCAGAAGTAGCTTAATGGGCGGGCGCGACGAGCAACCCACAGCAATGGCCTAGTATTATTAATGGTTATTTTTGAGTGTCACTGTTGTGGCAGCAAGTGATTGTTGCTCGATTGCAATGAAAATACGTACAAGCGCAGCAGTAAAGTGTGGCACACCAAAGCACTTGAGGTGCTGCATGAAAGGTACTTGTTGCAATTGCAAACGAGTAAGTCGGGTAAGTGTGCTTTGCGGTTCATGTGATACCACATTTTCTAAGGTTGCAACAAAATGTTGTGCGCCTGCTGTTGCAACTACAGAAATATGTTAGTTTATGTGCCAGTGTGGTTTTTACAAGCTTTTTTCTTTTAAATTTTGCAATAAATTTTCCTTTCGAAATAGAGAATGCGCGCATGCGCATGCGTCGCGCTGATAGCCAGCTGTAGTGAAACAGGTTGCCGCGCGCATGCGAACGAGTACGTTCGTACAAGTTGTAGCAGTGGCAGATAGCTGCACGCGCAATTGCCAATATCCATAGCGCTTTTACGGCATTGCATTTACGCTGCGGTTATGTAATGAAAGTAGCGCTGAATTGGAAAAGTGGTAGCGTATGAGAAAATCAAAATACACACACATAAGCGATGAAAAACAAAAAAAAAAAAAAAATACAACAGGCCAATTTGATTGTGAGTAACAAGTGGCACGAATTTGCTGCTACCGTTGCTGCTGCTGTCTCGACTTGAAATGCGCATAGAATTTGTGCTCAGTGGAGTGGAGCCGCTACATTCCGCACAGCTGTGTTGTTGCTGTGAGAGTGTGTAAGTATGCCAGAATTAGCTACTAAAATGACGGCAATTGCCGTAAGCGGTTCGCACAATAAATGATCAATTGGAGTTGCAAATAGCATGCGGTTGGAAAAGTGATTGCTATTGCGCAGCATTTTTCGCTGCTTACTCTTGCCGCAGCGACATCGTCGTGTGTGCTGTCTACTTTATGGCTATAACTATTTAATTGTGCTGTATGACGGCTTTGTTGGCGCACAGATGTTGAAATATCAGTTGGACATAGCCAGTTTGAATATATCTACATAAGTACATAAGCGAGCTGTATATACATAAAAATGTATAGTAATTGCAAATTTCCAGGATCGCACTCACACCAATGTGGCTGTTTTTTTTTTGCAGAAAACACACAAAACCAGTAAATTTCATGTGTCGAAAAGTGTTGGACTGAACTGTTCATGTTCAACAATTTAAAAGACAACAAAAATATGTTTTTTTGTTATGGCCATTTGTTGTGGCAATATGAAAGTGAATTAAACATAGGCACACCATATCGTACCAGAAAAAGGAAAGCTCGCCGCATACCCGCGAATCTACAGTATTTTTACAAAGCATTTAAAAAAAATAGATTTTTTCTGTCCAACGCGTATTACCCCTTTTTCACATCTTGAAGTGTAATATATCGCTGTTCTTGCCTCGAGGAGAATTATTTTTTTATTACAAAATTCATTGACCTTAAATACTCGTTTCCAGTACTTACCCACCACATCTCAGTTCTTATCACCCTAAGGTACCACCCTAATGCCAGTAAATTTAAGCTCGCCATAAATTATTATACTTTTGCTAAGAAAGTATTTTGATTGTTCCAGTGGAACTATAAAAAAATTATTCCTGAATGTGTGCAGGTGTTACCGAAAGATCTAAAATCTAGGTTCGGATAAAAAAGGGGGAAAAAATGTTTTTTCGAAATGCCTTCCAAAAAAATTTAAACTCAGGGGTCTACGGTATAATGTACACATTTTATTTCCTTTTACAAATAGAGACTGCTGGTCACACCTTTCATCGGAATCGCTAACGTTATCGCAGTATTTATTGATATATTCATATATGTTAAAATCTTTCTTGACTTCGATACTAGATGACAATCAGTATAGATATCAATGCATTAGTTTAAGTACTCGTCGATGTAATAATCGATACATATATCGATAACGTAATATTTATCGAGTTTTTCATAAACGTTAGTTATCAGTGTGTTCCTTAAAGCTTTTGTAATTTCAACTTGCTAATCTAATTCCACACACATTATTGCCACAAACCTGAGTTCTCTTCCAATTTTCCCATTTCCCATTTACGTGATATTACGCTGACAGATGTGAACCAATTTAGATACCGGTGTTTCACCTCGAACATTACACAGAAGAAAGATTCAAGAAAGTCATAACTGCATTATATATATGCAAACCGCAATTGGCAAAAATTGTCTCTGTAACTGTTTACAGTACATTCGATATACACAACGGTTGTTCGCCCAATCAAGTTCTCCGGCGTTTTCGCCTGTTCGACGTTCTTTGATATGTCGTGCAGGAGCAAGGGGAAAGAAGGTGGTATTACTCGCAGATGCTTTCACAGATGCAGTCATGGCGTGGCTGATCAGGGGCTGCTCTAGAACACATGTGGAACACATTAAAAAAAGCAAGGTGGCGCTTTGTGATAAGTGGGGACTCTCTACCGTTATATGACACCAGAATATAGCCAATTGTCCGCTAAATCGATAGCGCTTAACAGTGTATATCAAATGTAAATGTTGGCCACTATTAAGGCAGTATTGAGCGTCATTAAAAACCCCATAGATAGGAAAGAAGTCAATGCAAAGTGCCTCATTAGATGGCCCATCAAGCCACGTCTGATACAAATCTACTCAAGGTATGCACTTGTCACCCCATTTTAATAACCCATCCCATAAAATATATAAAACTATTGTCTGTGTAGACTAAAAGCTATCAATTTTACAAAACAGGTAAATGTTTAAAATAAGAGACCCAAGCAATTTTTTCCCAACTTTTGGGATCAAAAATGTCGCCTTGTTTTTCGTTTTTGTATACTAATTGTTTACGAGAAATGTCTTTTTTCGTCTCGCGAGATGATTATTTTCATATGGAAATTATTTACGTGTATATAGGACTTATATAGGACTTATGTATATTGTTCTCGTCTCTCGGAACGTTTATTTCAAGACGAAAATGATTTAAGTCTATCGTTTTCTCTTAATAAAAGTGTTACACGTTCAGCCGACTTCACGAAATGAAATGCAAATTTGAATGCATTTTTCTAACATCCGGCAACCCTTTTCAAAAAACT